AGGGAAAAGTTCAGTCACGAAGAGGCCAAAGAGAGGGAGGCAACAGCAGATGAAAAGAAAAAAAACAAGAAAAGGAAAAGGGATGGAAAAAAGACAAGGAAGAAATGGAAAAAGATAAGGGAAAACAAGGAGGAAACAAAATGCTGAGATTTTCACTATTTCACTTCAGCTCTGAAAAGTCACTTTCCCACATTTTGCTTAATCTCACCAGCAGACATGCCACACCAATAAATATTCAGGAGGGTAACAGAAGGCAAGGGCAAAATATTATAACTGATATAACTTGAGTCAAATGACTGCTCACTGTTGAGTTTGAAACTAAGTTAACAGGGTAGCATTTGTTTCAGAGTAGCGGCCGTGTTAGTCTGTATCCGCAAAAAGAACAGGAGTACTTGTGGCACCTTAGCGACAATTTATTAGAGCGTAAGCTTTCGTGGGCTACAGCCCACTTCATCGGATGCATAGAATGGAACATATAGTAAGAAGAAATATATATACATACAGATAAGTTGGAAGTTGCCATACAAACTGACAGCTCTTCGGAGACAGACCAGTCCTCACTTACAGACAGCCCCCCAACCTGAAGCAAATACTCACCAGCAACCACACACCACACAATAAAAACCACTAACCCAGGAACCTATCCTTCACTTGAATAAATATTGAATAAACCTACCCTTCACTTGAATAAATAAACCTATCCTCCACTTGAATAAATATTTGGACAGAGTTGGCATCGGGCTTTGTTGCAAGGCAACAAAGCCCGATGCCAACTCTGTCCAAATATTTATTCAAGTGACACCATCAAAGGACCTAATCACATAAGTCACGCCACCAGGGGCTCATTCACCTGCACATCTACCAATGTGACATATGCCATCATGTGCCAGCAATGCCCCTCTGCCATGTACATTGGCCAAACCAGACAGTCTCTATGCAAAACAATAAATGGACACAAATCTGACATCAGGAATGGTAACATTCAAAAACCAGTAGGAGAACACCTCAACCTCTCTGACCACTCAGTAAAAGATTTAAGGATGGCAATTTTGCAACAGAAAAACTTCAAAAACAGACTCCAACGAGACACTGCTGAGCTTGAATTAATATGCAAACTAGATACCATTAACTTGGGTTTGAATAGAGACTGGGAGTGGCTGGGTCATAACACATATTGAATCTATTTCCCTACAGTTAAGTATCCTCACACCTTCTTGTCAACTGTCTAAATGGGCCATCTTGATTATCACTACAAAAGTATTTTTCTCCTGCTGATAATAACTCATCTTAACTAATTAGCCTCTCACAGTTTGTATGGCAACTTCCAACTTATCTGTATGTATATATATTTCTTTTTACTATATGTTCCATTCTATGCATGCGATGAAGTGGGCTGTAGCCCACAAAAGCTTATGCTCTAATAAATGAGTTAGTCTCTCAGGTGCCACAAGTACTCCTGTTCTTTTTGAAGGTAGCATTTGTTCTTTAATGTTGCTTGCCGAAACATCAGTACTTTCCACCAAAATTTCAAGTCCCATTCAGTTGTCATTTAATACGTTTTTCCTTATCTGATCTTTCTACTCCTCTAGTGTCATTTCTACTGTACTACTCACTGAAGTAAAACTTCATATGATGTCCTGACTCCCAATTGTGGTCATCAAAAATCCCCTTCACGTAGAAGGCGGCATTGTTAACCCTGGTATTCTAGCCAAATTTCAGCTCACATATTTACATTTTGCCTACCTAAATTCTCCCTCTAGCTTCTACTAGATACAATATTCGTCTTCACTATCTTTCATAAACCACTGTGTTGCTATGCATCATTAAACAACTGATACGTTTCTCCCCAGAGACAGTTTCCCTTAGTTGGTGGGTGAGTTATCACTGTATATAGTGTGATTTGCAAAGAGCTCTAGGAAACCTTGGGATGGTAAATTAAATAAAATAGTTATCTTTACATAGCTCTTAACATACTGGATATTTACTCTGTTTAAATGCATTTGACCAAGACCAATTTACTACAGTCATCTATAGGCTTGGTTTCATTAACAGCAGATTTCACTTCAGAGAGTGTATTCCTTTAAACAAGGTAAAATAGCTACCCACACCTGAAATGTGCATGTGTCAGTTTCACCGTAATGACACCTTCATGGCCTCCTTGTGGGTACCCCCACTCATGTCTCATGCCTCAAGCTGCCACCTTTTTCAGGGTGGGAACACGCATACCCTCTCCCTCTAGACTGGGGATTTAGTCTTCAATTCATCCTGTAACTCACCGATCACCTTAGCAAGTCTGAGTTTATTTCAACAATATATATATAATACAAATAAATAAAAGGAGGGAGTTTCTGAGTAAGTTTGGAGCTCTGATGTACTCTGCTTCTCCCCCACTCGCAATTTCAGTCTGACTAACTCAGTCAGCGTAGCACTGGGATATGCCAAATAAAGATACTTGAGCGATGAAGTCTGGAGTCAGACAGAGTTCTTGGGACGCTGAGTTGAAAGAGGCCGCGGAGGGAACCCCAACATACTTGTGTAGAAATAATTTTCTTTTGCATTTCTTCCACATTTACTAGTCCAGACTGGAGAACTGGGGAACTCTTTATTTTAATGAAAGACTGTGCATGACTCAGTTTCCCCATTCACCTTATATTGTAGGCTAAAAAGACAGAATGACTGAGCCAGCTAAGATAAGAGGGAGAACACCCAAAGAACCATTTACTATAAACAAGATAAGTTAGGAATGTAGAGATGAGGTAAAGAGTAAGTCAAGCGTGGACAATGATTGGTTCCTGCAAAGTAACCAAGCCAATCCAAAAATGTGTAATGCAATGTATAGGAAATGTAATGAGATGTGTTTATTCATATATATATAAAATTTTTATTTATAAATATATAGTTTTATATAGTTATATTATATGTATGTATGTGGCAGGATGTGTGCTGAGGGAGGCATTTGTCAGAATTGATCAGGTATCTGTTGGCTGTGGAACTTTATTGAGCTGAGACCAGAACCACATACGGTGACTGGTGACATAGGGTGGTACTGGAGACATAGAAGGTCTGAATGAGGAAGGAGATAAATCTGTGGGAAGTTTCCCCTGATCACTATGAAAGTTCTACTCACTGTGGACACTGGTAAACCCACATGGGTGTACAGCTCAATGTGAAAAACTGGGGGCTGAGGGAACTGTGTATGGCAATGCATACCGTCATGAAGAGGTGTGAGTGATCAAAATGAAATATGTCTCTGAGATTCAGTACCAGGTATACTATGGCACCGCCCACCAGGCCCACACTCGGAGCCCACAGTGACTACAAGGGGGCCCACAAATATGTTTGGCACCAGGGCCCACAAAAGGTTAATCCAGCCCTGGTCAGCTAGCATACTATCATATAAACTTTACAGCAAGAACTCATACCTCCAAGGCCCTGCAAATGTGGTTCTGCCAGCATCTATGTATTTTAATGCAGGACAATTATTTCTCATAAATATGGATACCAAGATATAACTGTTGACTTTGCAGTTAGATAAACTCCTCTCACAATAGATAAACCTGCATACGGTGGGCAGAGATAATTGAGAAACATGCAGAGCCTTAACATTTTATTCATTTTGTACAATAACTTCACAAACTATATGAAAAGGAATCACTTCCCCCTGCCGATGAAGTGTAATCATAACTGTGGGAGAATGTTTACTAGTGCATAGCAAAAACATACTGCAGTTTAGGACAGGAAGCAAAGAACACCATTATATGCAACTGAAACTCCATGGGAAAATACAAGGAGGTAAAACATAAGTATCCAAATTTGAATTTAGCCAGAACACCAAAGTCAATGGCTTTACGAACAGTACTATCAAATTTTTGAGAACTATGTGCATCAGACACTCCTTTTCAAGACAGACAAATACCAGGATATGTATTGCAAACCACATCTCTATACAGAACTGCAGCCAACCCTGCCAAAAGGAACAAATTAATTTTGCCCATCCTCCAGGTATAACACATACCAGTGACATTTGCATATTCACACACTGAGTTAGTGTATCCACAAGGGGCTCCTGCAGAGAAAAGATCTCTCCCCATTTTCCAGCCCAAGTAATTCAGCTAAGCACTGAAGAGGGGGAAGAATCCCACATAGCAATCTGGATGGGGAGCAGCAGCAGAGCAATTAGGGGAACCATATAGTGGCAAATTCTCTGACCCTGACCTTTTCTGCACAATCTAGCCCCAACCTTCCAACCACTGTCTTCTTCATGTCTTGCATGACAGCATGCTGACAGCTCCATGAAAATGGGCTCCATGCTGTACAGGAGACGCCAAATACCCCCTGCTCAGTGGAAATACACCAGTTCCACTAAAAGAGGACCTTCCACACCTGCAGAAGAAGGGATAAAATTCAACCTATACTGAAAAACACGTTTGGTCTACACATGCTGTAGCAGGGACCAAAGTATAAAGGAGTTCTTGGGACAGTGTTTATCAGATCAGAATTCTGCAGTTTACGATTCAACATCTGTACTCAAACTGGATCCCGAAAGTAGAAACAAGGTTATTGCCGAGGGCAGCACGGACTAGCAAAATGACATTCTGGCCCACACCTTCCAAGAAGGAGGTGATCTCTTTACAGGCAACTCAATAGAAATACTAACTTATGGTATCTGCTTATCATGCAGGACAGTCCAAGCTTCTGAGTTCTGTAAATGCTTATTCCAGCCCCTTCTCACAGGTTTTTTCAGGTCAATACATGTTTTAGTTTGCCATTAAGCTAACTCTAATTCGTGTCACCGCTTTAGGACACTTCCTTACACACTAAGCTTAAAATTTCCTCTCCACCTTTTCCGAAAGAAAATCTTTTCAACCAACTTTTCAATCTGCACCCAGAAAGGGACTGAATTCACTGGCTATTAAGCTTCCACCAACCCCCGCCAAACCAACACCCCCTCCTTTTATCTTTTCAAACCAAGAGGAAGCAAGCACATTAGATCTACTTACTGCTGCTGCTCTCTTTCCTGTAGAGGAGTCACTCTGTGCTGTGTTATGGAGATTCCTGTGTGAATGGCAGGCACTTCTCAGCCATGAAACCCCACACCACAAAGAGGCCTTTATTGCCTCGTACATGCCAGGAAAGAGTCAGCTCAACACTGCAGGGAGCATCGGAAAAAAAAATTAAGTCAACACTTTCCGGTTTTTTCCACCCCACAGGCCACTCCCTCGTCCCTTCCTACATGCTCCTCCTCCTCCATGCCCCCCCCCCACCTTTCTGAGTGTGCGGAGAGCTTCTCTCTATCTTCTAAAGCACACAGCAGTCTATCCTGGAGGCGTTCAGATAGATCCAGGAGGGCAACATGCCAAAGGTGCTACCACAATACGAATAATGAACAATAATAACAGTAAGTCTGCATTATGAAAGATTAAGAGCCTCATAAACACAAAAAAGATTTTCACCTGAGCCCCCATAGCCTCTGTCCTTGTAGAGATTCTTCAAGTGCAGCTTCTATCATCCTTATCTAGGTTAATCTGCCTAGCACCATCTTCCAAGCCCTCCTCCCCAGCAACACCCACAGACCTCTCCATCACACTGTCACTGTGTCCGAAGATATGCACTTCTTACACCTATCTCAGGCCCTGTCTATACTGGCAAGTTTCTGCGCACTAAAGCAGCTTTCTGAGGTGTACACACCAACTCCCGAGATGTACACACTGCCAAGCCACTTAGTGCACAGAAACTGCACAGTTGGTACGCTCTAAAAAAACCCACCCCAATGAGAGGAGTACAAATTTCTGCGCCAGGGCTACAGCACCGCAGTGCCAGTGTAGACACCGTGGTCGATTACAGTGCTGCAATTGGCCTCTGGGAGGTATCCCACAAGGACTGTTCTCACCTCTCCGGTCATCGGTTTAAACTCTACTGCCCTGCCCTCAGGTGACCAACCATCAGCCCCATCTTGTAAATTCCTTGGGAATTTTGGAAGTCCCCTTCCTGTTTGCTCGGTGACCCATGCAGTGGTCTAAGCACATCTTTCCAGGTGGCCGTGCCTGCTCCATGCAGCAGGCAATCCTCCACTTGGAGCAATGCTGAGCTGCTCTACCTCATCAGCATTTGGGGAGAGGAGGCTGTCCAATCCTAGCTGCGCTCCAGCCATAGGAGCTGTGAGACCTACGGACAGATTTCACGATGCCTGACAGAAAGGGGCCATCACCGGGACATACTGCAGTGCAGGGTCAAAGTGAAGGAGCTGTGGAACGCCTACCACAAGGCGCGGGAGGCAAACTGCTGCTCCGGTGCTGCGCCCACGAGCTGCCAGTTCTACAAAGAGCTGGACATGATACTCTGTGGCAACCCCACCTCCACTGCGAAGACCACTGTGAATACTTCGGTGGCTCACGTGCCAGTTGAAAGTGGACTGAGCCAGGAGGAGGAAATCTTGGAGGAGGATGTGGAGTGGGGGACTCAGAGGATGACTCGGAGATCAGAGATACATACAGCCAGCTCTTTTCTACCCCGGAGGAGGCTAGCCAGTCACTGCTGTCGGATGTTGGCGACGCGCAAACAGGAGAGAAGGCCCCTGGTAAGTGGATTTGATTTTGGGAATAGCTGAAGCGAGTTGGTGGGGGGAAGGAGGGTTGCAGAAAGCAGGCTTGTCTCCCACCGCATGCCTAGTCTGAGCGGCAGAACAGGCTGTTGATAGACTCCCTCACTTCACAGGAATCTCCCTCAGAGAGCTCCAGGAAACTCTTGTGGAGATACTGGGCAGAGCTGCTTTGTTTCTTGCCCCATTAATGGTAACTTTCCCACGCCACTGTGCCATCACAGGACTGGGGGGAGGGCAGAGAAGACCATTGCTGCACACAGGTGAGCTGCATAGGAGCCAGGGCGAAAGCCGCAGGCTTGGAGAAGACCCTCTCTTGAGTCCCTGCTCACCCTCAGCAGTGAGATATCTTCCATAATGATCACATCCTGTGGTAAGCATGGGGACAGGAATGATTATGAGGCCCCCTCTATAGTGCTGGCTCCCCCCAAGACACATGCCCAGTGTTCAGCAGGGTCTGGGAAAACTGATTTACCCTGCCCCTGTGGCTACTCACTCACTACTCATCTTGTGGCTCATGTGTGCTTGCCTGAGGTCAGCAAGTTAGTGACAGGTGTGTGAGTACTGGCGGTGTTTTAAATCACTGAATCAGTGTTCTGTGTTGCAAACAATACTGCTTCTGCAAAATGCTGCGTTTAAACTTCACAGAGATGATCTTGGGAGCCCAGCCTCCCTTTTTGCTATTGGCGGCTGAATGGCTGTGCAGAATTAGAAAGCGGCCACGAAGAACTAAGGAGGACTTTCTGGATGATGTTATGATGCACTTCACTGCCAAGAAACAGGAATTGAAGGAGTGGTAGGACGGCAAGAAGAGGGACCAAAAGGAGAACGCGGCATGCCAGAATGAAGCCACAGAGCGGTTCTTAAAGGTTATGGAGTGCCAAGCAGACACGCTCCAGGAGATACTTGCTCTTCAAACCGAGCAGATCTGTGCCTGCCCTCCCCTGCAGCCGCTGTCGCAAAACTCTTTCTCATGCTCCCTCCAGACACCCTCTTATCAATCACCTGGTTCCAGTCTATACCCGTGGCATTCCACTTCTCCCCGCTCACAGTCCAACACTGCGGAATCCCACTACCCACAACACCCATCCCTCTGTAGTTTGGCCCTGCTGAAGCATAGTACCCACTGCATTGTACTCCAAAGGAGAAGGTTGGATATGATCCCTGGAAAAACACAAATCTTTAGCCATCCCAGGACCCCTTCTCCTCCTCCTCCTGGGACCTTCCCTTCCCCCATCCCCCTCACTGCTGATGGTTTTTTTCAGTTTGACTCTCTCCTCTGATTGTTGTTTTTTAATAAAAGAATTGTTGGTTTGAAAGCAATCTTCATTCTACTAAGTGAAAGCAAAAAGAGCCCTGCAAAGCAACGTACAATTATGTTAAACGCACATATTGCATTGTCTGCACCAATCACCTCCTAGCATTACAAGCACCGCACTCCTGAGTATAGCAACAAATATCAGTGGCTTTGAGCTTCAAATTGCTGCCTCAAGGCATCCCTGATCCTTATGACCCTGCACTGCTCCCCTCTAATAGCCCCGGTCTCTGGCTGTTCAAACTTAGCCTCCAGGCGCTAAGCCTCAGAGGTTCAGCCCTGAGTGAAGCTTTCACCCTTCCCTTCACAAATATTATGGAGCGTACAGCACGCAGCTATAAGCATAGGAATATCGTCATCGGCCAGGTCCAGCTTCCCATAGAGGCACCGCCAGCGGGCTTTTAAAACGCCAAAAGCACAGTCGACAGTCATTCTACACTTGTTCAGCCTGTTGATGAACTGCTCCTTGTTGCTGTCAAGTTGCTCTGTGTATGGCTTCATAAGCCACGGCATCAAGGGGTAGGCAGGGTCTCCCAGGATCAAAACGGGCATTTTGACTTCCCCTACGGTGATCTTCTGGTCTGGGAAGAAAGTCCCTGCTTCCAGCTTCCTGAACAGGCCAGTGTTCTGAAAGATGTGTGTGTCATGAACCTTTCCGGACCAGCCTGAGTTAATGTCTGTGAAACGCCCACGGTGATCCACAAGCGCCTGGAGAACCATAGAGAAATACCCCTTGCGATTAATGTACTTGGTGGCTAGGTGGCCTGGTGCCAGAATTGGAATATGCATGCCATCTATTGACCGTCCCCCCCACCCCCCCGTAGTTAGGGAAGCCCATTTGTACAAAGCCATCCACAATGTCACACATGTTGCCCAGAGTCACGGTCTTTCACAGCAGGATGAGATTAATGGCCCTGCAGACTTCTGTCACCACGAGTCCAGTGGTCAACTTTCCTACTCCAAACTGGTTAGCAACCAATCAGTAGCAGTCTGGAGTTGCCAGCTTCCAGATGGCAATAGCCACCCACTTCTCGAACAGCAGGGCAGCTCTCATTCCCGTGTCCTTGCGCCGCAGGGTTGGGGCGAGCTTATCACACAGTTCCATGAACATGGCTTTCCTCATCTGAAAGTTCTGCAACCACTGTTTATCATCCAAGATGTGCATCATGATATGATCCCACCACTCAGTGCTTGTTTCCTGAGCCCAAAAGCGGTGTTCCACTGCAGTCAGCACCTCCGTGAATGCCACTAGCAATCTCATGTCGTAGCTAAGACGTGTGGTGAGATCAATGTTGCACTTCTCTTGCCTTTGTACTTTAAGGAATAACTCCACTGCCACTCATGACATGTTGGTCAGAGCAAGCAGCCAGTAGGTCAACAGTTCGGGATTCATTCCTGCAGCCCAAAGAAGCAGGGCGCGTAATACAGAAACCGTTGAAAGATGGTGCCAAATGTGGACAGAAGCCCAGGGATTGCTGGGATGCGAAGCTATTCATTACAGGGCACTGAGAGAGGACCCAAGATGCTCTGCGACCCCCTCCGCCTTCCCACAACTCTTAGCGGCAGAAGAGGAAGAGATGCTCTGTGGGATAGCTGCCTAGAGTGCACCGCTCCGAATACCACTGCAAGTGCCACAAATGTGAACATGCTATTGCACAGGCAGCTGACAGTGTGAACACACAACAGTGGTTTCCCTTCAATGCTCGCTGAGCAGCGCTGTAACTCCCGGCGCTGTAGTTCTGCCAGTGTAGACATGCCCTCAGTATTAGTTAGTGAAAGTCAGTCAGTGGCACATCATCAAGGACAGAGTTTTGCGCTACATACTTCTCTTCAAGTGCACTCCGACAGGCCTGGCAGATTCAGTGAGATATAGCACTTGTCTATATGAACAATCAGTTTGCAGCAAGCTAGGGTGTGACTCTACCTCACACTAGCCAGCCATGCACTAACAATTTGTGTGGATCCTGCTGACATACATTAACAGTTTGTTAGTGAGCTTTGACTTAGTCCCATTTCAAAGAGGACTAGATCAAACCTAACAAACTATTAATGCATGTCAGCAGTGTCCTCATGGACAGTTAGGCCAGAGCTGGTTAGTATGGGGTAAAGTCACACCCAGCTTGCTGCAAACTAAGGCCAGGTGTACATTTCAAACTTACATCAATATAACTACATCGCTCAGGGGTGTGAAAAAATCCACATCCCTGAGCAGCACAGTGATACCAACCTAACCCCT